GGAAGCTGAACGATCTTATGCAATAGTTCAATGAACATATGGCCATCCACTTTTTAAGAACAAACTAATTCATAAGTCATTGAAGGACGCGGAGGATGTGAACAGATATTTGCAACGTGATTTGCGTGATACGATCTCTACTTTACGGCAGGATGTTTTCGCGTCTATTTATTATTATTATTATTATTTATTTTAACCTCATCTCCCTTGAACTGTTTTGACGTTTTAAAACCTGCGATTTTTTTTTTTTTTTTTTTTTTTGCGCGCGGGTCGTAAGTTGCTGAAAACAAAACGAACACACACAAAAAACATAAACAGTCAGGTGAGTTGAGTATAATTTTATATACTGCCGAGAGAACAGAGGAAGTGGAGAGAGAGACAGAGAGAGAGAAAAGAAAAAGAAACACTTCAAGAAATTCAGTGGATTTACGTCCAATCGGTTGATTAAACCATTTACGGGACGTATTTTTAAGTAAGGTTTAATTTCCCCTTTGGGACTGTGAAGAATATCCCTCTCCCCCTCCAAAAAAATGTAAACATGGGAGGATGAAATAAACTTGTTCCAAAAATGCTTTCAGTTCCTATAAGAGCAATTCACTTCGAGAAATCAACACCCGACGAACATTAATACTAGAAATATACCAGTTTATTATTATTTTTTCATTTTGATAATAATAATAATAATAATAATAATAATAATAATAATAATAATAATAATAATAATAATAATCAACTAATCCCAACTAATGCCGCACATATTTCGGAAGTGATTCCATTATTTATCACTTCCGCATTTACTTTTGCTTTTGTCTCTGTTTCACTTCTGTTATTTGTAAACAAGCCTTCAGCTGACCTCGTTCTTTACCCTCTCTCTCTCTGACTCTCTCTCTCTCCATCTCTCTCTCTTCAGTGTGTGTGCGTGCGTGTGTTCTGTATCAGTGTGTGTGCGTGCCCGTCCGTCTCTCGTTGCGTGTTACATCATCACGCAATAGCTGTCCTCTCGTGGCCCACTGAACTGGCTCTAAGCGCTGCACCAATCTGGCCGTCTACTACGCGCTTCACGTTTGTGGATCGGGGCACGCAGACACACGCAGGCGGCGGGCGCACACATCCAGTCACGGAAGCGCTCAGGCTGTATAGTTTTTTATTTATTTATTTTATTTTTAGTTTTTTTTTTAGGCAACCACGTGGAATGATTAAAAAAAAAATTCTACCACATGCATGATCTCGAAGTGTACTTATATATCTCAGATGCTTAAAAACGGTTTGGTTTTACGCGTAAAAATAGAGCAAATGTGTGGCTTCTTTCTGCAGTGAAAAGCGCACATGTGAACACTCCAAAGGGGCAGAAAACACCTGAAACAAATGGAAGTATTGTGTGAAAAAAAATAAAATAAAATAAGACAAATAAAGCGGATTGAAGGGACTCTTGCTTCCAACGCTCACATTCACGCGTCCCGATCAAAGCTGCTGCCAAAATGTCAACAGTTTCACTGGCAGACTTGAAATTTAAGCATGAACTCTGACGTTATTGAAAAATACATGTCACGTCAGTAAAAATCTCAATTACCAAGCGTGTTTCAGCACGTCATTGAACGTCACACTATTAAATCGGTGATTCTTGAGAAGAGAAACAAAACAGGTCCTATGGATAAAGCTCAAAATATGAGTAAAATATACACAAAATCTATATTTTTCAAATATCTGACTAAACTAACCATGTGAGCACAACATTGTGTGCTCTCCTGGTGCATGCTGGATATATATATATTTATTTTACACATTGTAGTAGATGTAGGCCTATGGTGTCTGTAAAATCCCCTGTCCTGGAGCAGAACTCAATACATTATAATAGTTTAAAACAATTAAAGGAAAACTAAGATAGACTAATACATTATGACAATTAAGTATAAGTATTCAAATAAATAATTATTAAAAAAAATATCAATGAATTGAATTAAAAATCATTTTCATATATTTTCCAATTCGATTTAAATTTGTCCCAAGTTTTTGTCAACACCCTCAGACATGAAAAGAATGTAAAAAATAAATAAATCAGGCATTATTGGGGGGCATCAGAACTTCTGAGGACCCCGTGACGTCTTCCTTTCTCTTCCTTTGCTAAGAGGGCTAAAGCAGCTCTAGCTAGCTTATGTTGTTTTTTTTCTCCTGTTTTATTCCGAGGTTGTTCATCACAACCGCATGGTGTCAACACCATAACTGTCAATTAACTCAACTTTGATGAAATTATATGAGATAAATGCTCAATTTTAGTAAACTGTAAAGATTTCATGGACCTGATGAGCTACAATATGGCCTCATTCAGATTAATATTATATCAATTGATGTAGTTTGACATTTTGTCAACTCCTTCAGATGGACTTTGTTTCTTTTTGTTTGAAATAATATTTCTTTTGTTTATTGAGAAGCATTTGTCTGTGAAACTGAGTCAAAATAGCACTTATAGGGTCATTAAAAAATAATTGTCAGATGGTGAAGACAAAGTTCTCGGTCAGGTCCAATAAAAATTTAATTTAAAAAAATGTTGCAACTGGGAGCCTGCACCTTTGCATCTTCACGTTTCCAAAAAAAATTTTTTTTCATATTTGTATAGGCTACATAAGCTTGAGGCATCATTTTTCTTTTAAATTTGGAAACATTTCAACCCATTTTGTCCCACTTCTCAAGAATCACTGAAATATTATATATATAATTGAACTCATGTTTGTACGTTCAATTTTCAATCAATATGAGGTTTTCAACCCTACCTACATTTTTTTTTTTAAGTGAACTGAAGTTGTTAAATCATTGAACCGTTAGCTATTCACATTCGGTGTGCGGTGAGGAGAGAGCACACAGAGAACAGTAAGGCTACAAAATGTTTATATGAATAAATCAACTTAATGAAAGTTGGGAGAGGTTCTGTTTCTACATCGAGAATTTAGGTTAGGCTTCCGTTTTACCTAATTTAAGGACAATGCTAATGCAAAAGTTAATGTATGGGCAAGCTTCACTGTGAAAGCAAATTTTGGAAATGTGAATACATTCAATAAGGTTTCATCAAATCTGTCAGCAGATGAATTTAGCTTCCAATGATGTTTAAATTATGACTTGATTCACATCTTAATTTCTTTTTTATTTATTTATCACAAATTGGACCAACTCAACACTGTTTCAGTTGTTAGCTTAACTGCTAGCTAGCAAGGCTCAGGTGGTCAGCAGATAACACTGAGGCTGGAGTGTTTACATGGTTTTTACTTTGAATCAGGAGCTTAGTAAAAGCAACCAGTTGTCCTTAGACTTGTGGTTGAGACATTTCCTTTGTTGGAGTAAGAATTAGAGATTTTAACCAACTTCAACAACGCTGGCGCTTTTTTTCTAAACCTGTTACCAGCACCGAAACTTTCCCAATCACAATCTTTATCAAAATTTTGACTTTTTCCTTCACTTTCAACCCATATAAGCACATCAATGCAACTTCTTTCTGCTGAATACTACACAAAATAAACAAGAATTGGGTTATTAGTTCATGTTCCGATCAAAACATTCAGGTTTACTTAAAATGACATGAGTTACATGTAGATACATAAATATATTTTATTTAGAATTTAGCTTGTTACACGTCGTTCTCAGAAATGACCATAGTTGATTCAAATTCAAATGATCTTAATTTGCTAGCATTTAATTGTTTTTTATAGTATAAAATGTTTCAAAAGAAAACAACCAGAGTATGTCTGACAAATTATTCTGTGTAAAAAAAAAATGATATTTAAAAAAAATGAGATTCTCTTTTACTGTCCTTGTGTCATGATATTAAAAACGGCCAGCTTGCTTAAAACTCTTTTAGCTGTTGATCTTGTCAAGCAATTATTTTCGGGACGATTATTCACCGTCAAATTCGAATACATTTTCTCATCGGTGTATCAAACGGGAGCATCTCTTGGATCGTTATTATTATTGCTATATTTTTCTCAAGTGCTGTGGCCATGATGTGTAAATCTGTGACCCGGCGGCAGGGAGAGTACAGCCGCACCCCCTCCCTGCCCTGCCTCAACCCGGCTGACACCCGCCTGTCCGCTCACCGCAATTACGAGGATGAGTGTGAGAGAGGTCAGATGGACACGCAAGGCCCGTTTGCGCATGTTCCAAAACGTGCGGCGGTGGCACGGAGACAAGCGCGTTTCGGCCCACATTTTGCGAGGCTGAAACGCCAAGACGCGATACCTTCCCTCGCTGCAAGCGGTCGTTCCTGCACTTTGACTTTGCACTCGAACGCACCAGAAAGCTCAATTGATTTCCCAAACGGGGCTATTGTCTCGTCACTTTTTCTTTCTTTCTTTCTTTTTTTTGTCTGTAGCAAAACAAAAAGAGAAATTTATTCTTCTTTATAAACAGACTGTGTAGAAAATATCACACCTCAGATACACCATAATTGGCAAAAAAAAGTACAATGCATTCATTAGTTCAAATCAAAACACACCGCAACAGAACTATAAATGACTTTGCTGCTTGCTTGTTCTTTTCTTCTTCTTTTCTTCTTCTTCTTCCTTTAATACGAACTTCAAATCAAAACTTTTAAACCTCGTTCTGATTTGCTCATAAAATAATAATAATAATATATATACTTATATATATATATAAAAACATGGATGTGTTTGACACAATTTAAACACGTGATCACTTAGAACCTGTCCTGAGACGCTCCTAATAGAAAACAACAGTGACTGAAACTGATCGCGTCTTGATAAAATACAAGGAAAATTCGAGGTCAAACAAAAAAAAAATCATTTTGATTCTGACTGAAATAATAATAATAATAAAAAAAAACGTACCATAAATATATAGTTTTATAAACAGCATGAATATAGGCACAAATAGTGTTTGTTTTTCTCCTGCATGTCCGTCATTCTGCTGCAAATAAACGTACAAAAATAATCCTACCTTCAAAGAGGGGAGGGGGGGGGCGTTTGTTTCTGCTTTTGATAATGTTTTTTTTTTGTTTGTTTGTTTGTTGTTGTTTTTTTTTTTTTCGTTGTTGCAGTTTTAAGATTTTTTTTTTCAACAGGCGCTAGTGCCGCCGATAATTCTGTTCGGGAAGTTTTCGACTAAAACGGCCTCCGGGTGGACGGACTGCGGCTGGCCGGGGAGCGCCAGGGAGGTCGGTAAAACCGGGACAATGACAGGAGGAGTCCTGGCGGGGCTCAGCGACCCGCCGATGATGCTCTCTATGGAGAAGGGAGAACGCTGCTGCTGCTGCTGCTGCTGCTGCGGCTGCGGCTGCTGCTGCGCCGGGGGGCTCGCTTTCTGCGTCGGGGACGCGGAGCCCAGAGCGGACCCGAGCTGCGGGTAAAATCTGCTCCGGGAAAGGTCCGTGCTGGTGGGCATCAGCGAAGGCGACGGGATGTGCGTGTGGGAATGTCTGGGCTGCTGCTGCTGCTGCTGGAAGGCGAACAGCGCGGAGTGCGTGTGGTAGGACTGCAGCTGGATGCCGTAGCCTCCGCAGCCGTATGGTCCGTACCCGTACGCGGCCGCCGCTGCCGCCGCCGCCGCCGCGGGGATGAAGCCGTTGGGCTCCCGCATCAGGTCCTGCGTTTGCTGCCGCTTGAAGCGCTTCCTCCGCCTCAGAAAGCTCCCGTTGTCGAACATGTCTGCCGACTCCGGGTCCAGCGTCCAGTAGTTGCCCTTCCCGGGGTTCCCGGGCTCGCGTGGGATCTTCACGAAGCAGTCGTTCAGAGACAAGTTGTGCCGAATGGAGTTCTGCCACGCCGGGAACTTCTCCCTGTAGTACGGGAAGCGGTTGCTGATGAAGTCGCAGATCTCGCTGAGCGTCAGCCTCTTCTTGGGGCTCTGCAGGATGGCCATGGTGATTAAGGCGATGTAGGAGTAAGGGGGCTTCACCAGGGCGTTCTTCCCCGCCGGCTTGAAGGCATCCCTGGAGGAGGAAGTGGTGGAGGTGGAGCCGTCCTGTAGGCACGGAGGAGGAGGAGGAGAGCCGGCCAGGAGGATGCCGTCCCGCATCTGCGCCACCTCGTCCACGTAGGAGCGCGTGTGGCCGTCGCCGTCCTCGCCCTCGCCGACCACGTCGATGTCGGTCTCTTCCGAAAGGAGGGAGGCATCCGACATCTCCGAGCTCAGAGTCATGGCTCAGTCTTTGCGCTCCGAGCTTCCCCTGAACCCCCCCCAAAAAAACACGTCAAAAACTCATAAGAAGAAAGGGAGAGGAGAGGCGCAAGAGAGAAACGTCCGCTGTTTTTTGCGCCTTTTCCATAGGGGTTTCTTTCCCCCCCTCTCTTTCTCTCTGTCTCTCTCTCTCTCTCTTTTCTTTCTCGGGAGGTTAGGCAGTTCGCAGACTGAAGCGCGAACCCTGGGTTTGTAAGAGCGAATGTGTGCGTTGGGGGGGAGAGAACCTGCGCAGCGGGCAGACCGAGATCTCACAAGGGGCGGGTCTTTTCTTTAAATTTATACCACCGCCCTGATCACATGGGGGAGGAAACGTCACAGAGGCAAACGAGAAGCATGTAAAAACAACAATAATAGGCCCTATAATAAAAAATAAAATGTCAAAACTCAGATTTTTCCATTCTTTTAAGGAAATAAGTTTTCTAGTGCTTTTTTGTTGTTGTTGTTCTTTTGTTTGTTTTTTTCATGCATTCCAAAATAGGCTACATTAAAAAAAATGCTTGTTATAAATGTAGCCAATTGCTACCAGGGCATACATTAGTCTCAATGTACATGCAAAATAATACGGTTTTTTTTTTTTTTTTAAGGGTGAAGTGAAGGGGTTAAAAAAAATAAAATAAAATTATATACAGGAAGCTCAGTGATTGGCCATTTCTTTCTCTTCTGCCCGCTTCCTGGGAGTGGCGCTCCCGGTTTGCGTGATCCCGCACTTCTCCAGATTGTCCTGCGAGCCATTTGTAGTAGGAAGGAGTCAGCTGTTAACTCGAATCAGTCACGGGTCACGCAGAGCAGGCGAGCTCACCCTCCCACACCAAATCACCCCTCCATGTACATGCTGCCGGGGCCTAGAGCCGGCCGCATGCGTGGTGCGGAATTTTACAATAAGCACGGAGGACATTGCGGAAGATGTCATCTTTAAGTGATGTCGCGCAAAATTCTTATCGATCATTTATTTTCCAGTTTTAGGATAATTTTTTGGATAATCTTGAGGTTGATTTTAAACTCTCGATCACATTTATTGGTCAAAATAACAATAGTACCTGCTAGAGATCTAAAACAAAAACATTTAAGCAGAAAATAAACGTGACGAGCAAGTAAATAAATAAATCGAAATTCGAAAAAAAATCTGTTTTTATTTTTTACATTATTAAAGGAGGAAAACGGAAGTGTTTTTGTTTGTTTGTTTATTTATTTATATATTAAAAATACATACATACATATTTTTTATTATTTATTTATTTTGTGGTTTTTTTATTTGTTTATTTATTTATTTATATTTTTTGTCAAAATTAAAAAAAAAAAAAAATCGGTGGTTCATTAAAAAAAAAAAAGATCCATGTTCAAACTGGATGAGGTTCCTTCCTTTTTGGTTCTGCTTTGTTTGCGACGTTTCCTTGTTTACACCGCCATCTAGCGGGGAAATGGTCCCGGACAAGACAAAAAAACAAATAAATAAATAAAAAATAAAAAAGAGTTAAAATCCTCCTAGGGACGCAATAGTTTCAGTACCAGCTCACACACACACACCACACACCACACACCACACACACACACACACACACACACACACACACACACTGACACTGTATTAATTTTCTTATGCTCATGTTTACTTCTTTACATATAGCAAAAAACATTACCATGCACCTCTTTGACCATAATACCCTTTTTAAGGACATCACTTACCAGCGCCCAAAAAGTGACTCGAAAGTGGGTTTTTATTTCCACTATCGTTAAAAATATCGTTCATAATATCGCTCATAATAACGTTGATAAAATTGTTGATATTTCATTCTGATGTTTAATTCAGTCAAAATATTATAGTTGACGGTTTTAATCAGTTCATCCTAAAGGTGTTAGAACTTCTTAAAGTATACAAATTGAGCAACAGTTCAATGTATGTAGAGCAGCCGCTCTACTTACAAACGTCATTGTGATAATAGAGCAATTTTTTTTCTTTGCTGTTTTATTGAATCATCTATTTATTTTAGGCATGTATATATTTATATAAACATTTATATATAAAAAAACATCATTAGAAAAAAAAATACTCTCATAAAAAACACAAAATAAGAGTGAGAAGGGAAAAACAACAACAAAAAAACCCCAAAAAACAAACGCTGCACACACTGGTGACCAGTGACGAATGATCAGTTTGACTAAAGATGCTGAAATTAGTGTCTGATTCCTAAAGAACTGTCGCTTCTAACTAGGAACGTAAAACGGCAACCTGTAGTTAATCTAATTAACTCAAACAAAAGATTTGTATTTAGGAAACTTTTTTTTGTTTGTTTGTTTTGTTTTGTTTTTTGCTTTCACTCCGATTACTTCTAGTTTGAAAGAGTTGTGGAAAGCAAATGACCCACAAAATGTATTGGTGAAGTCTTAGGTGGGGGGCAAAAAAGTGCACAAAAAAATGCCACATTGTTATTGACTTCAGTTTTACACTGACACTTTAATCAAAACACAAACAACACTTTATTTCATTGGGAATGTTTTGGTCCCAGTTACACACAAAACACTCCAAGCCCAAATTTTTCATACCTAGGGTTGGTTTAAAACACCCAGAGTTGATTGGGTTAAGATTTGGGTTAAGCTATGACGTCAACCTGAGAAACAACAGGCGGACGGGAGGAACCAAATGGTACTGTTAAAGTAAAGGCAAATCTTCTGAATTTGGGATATAGTTAATTTAACTTCACATAATCATCATGGTAGAAGCCAAAAAACTCAATCAAATATATTTGTCCTATTTGATGTTTGTTGTGAGTGACGTATAATTAGTCATTAGTCCAAGTTTGCCATTTATTGAAACTCTCAGCGGCTGTGATGCACCACAGCAAAGGTCAACAGAGGTGAAACAACCCGAACAGCTGGTCAACTCAGAACCATTTTACTCTCCGTCTCCCTTCATCGGTTAAGCGGTTAAGCGGGGCAACCGCCTGAGTCCCGCAAGCCGAGCAGAGATTACGTTAAAAACATTTAGTCCTTTTTTATTTGTTAATGGATCAGAAACGCACTGAATTGCGCAACATCTTGTTGAAACAACTATTACTGAGATTATTCATTTCAACACGTTTTGTTGATTTTTTTTAATGATTATTATTTAATGAAACTACAAACCTTTACTATCCTAGAGAATATTTTCTATAAGCCTGTCAGAGGAGGAAGTGCTGATCGACGTATTGAGCGTCCCTGGTCTAGAGTTGATATTTCCATTCATCCGTCACCTGGTGCAACATTTCTTTTTTGAGAACTGTGGATGGAATGATGGAAATGAAAGCAGATTTTAGCTGTGAGACTGACTGAAGTTGGACAAAATTTTGAGAAATTGCAGACCTTCCTAAACAAGCTATGGAATAGTCCAATTACGTTTATTCTTATTATTTGCCCTTCTTGAGGCACATGTGAAAAATGAAGACTGATGTTTTGGAATTGGCTGCCGCTGCTGGACTAATCAATATCCATCTCTGAGTTCATCTCTTCAGCCAATAGTCAAACGCAAGGAACTGTGAATGTAAAACATTTTGGTGCAATATTTTCTAAACGTCAACACAGTTTAAGCTTCTGTGGCAAGACATTATTTTACTTTTTTTTTTTTTTGTCTTCTGGAAACTTTTTATTTTTGAGTTTTATTTGAGGTCCTATAATATGTATGCAAGCGCCCAGAAACTCAGAAGATTGAACTCTATCCATGTGTGCAAAAATAGTATTTGTGTGTTGTCCACACAAATACTATTGTATTTAATCTTGTTTAGTATTGTATTTAATCTTGTTTAACTATCGGTGGAAAATCTTGTAGCTGTCTTAGCAAACTGTGTCTTTGTGAAATCTGTTTCTGTTATTTGTAATAATCTGTAGCACTAATCAAACATGCTGCCAGTGTTTGTATGTGTACACGGTGTCATTTATGTTGATGTAAAAACGAGCAATCTCATTGACCAGCAGATGTCAAACTGCAACTGTTGCTATGTGTATTTGCGACAACTGCTTTTATACACCTGCTAATTCAATTCAATTTAACTTAAGGGACTTAAGGAAAGTTTTACTGACACTTTCATACGGAGCGAGAGTCGCCTGCAACCTGCAGAACTGAACCCAGGGCAGAAAAAACCCAGTTACGCTTCTCCTCTTTGCCTGACGTCACGTCCTCCCTCCTCTCTCGCTTCCATCTTGCTCCCCGCATGTGTCTGCTGTTAGTTTACAGGTCAGTGAGGAGCTTTGAATACTTTCTTCTCCGCACTGTTGCCCCCTGACCAGACGGCTAGAGGTAAACGAAAGCCTTTCCCGACCGGGCGGCTGATATCCGCCGCGGTGTGAAGCTGATCTTACCCACTGACCTGTGTGGCGGAGTGACAGGCCGTGCTGCTAGCAGCTAAGCTAGGCAAAGTTAGCCACCAGCTTCCTCTCATAAAAGCTATTTTAAAAAACCCATTTAGGCTGAATGCAGGCTAACTAAACTTTCCCTTCACGTTTAGGATAACCTGTTGCTGGCTTATTTAGCTCGACTAATAATATTTCCTTGTTATTTGCTTGGCTTCGCTCGTTCACAGCGCCTCCCAGAAATCAGGAGAATAGCTTCAGTTTCGTCCTGCGGATTGGCTAATTTAGTCTTTTTGTCATACAGAGCTCACCGACGGTTCTTAATGTGGTTACACCGCTTTATCTTGAGCATTTGCAGTCTTGCCACACCCACACTGACAATGCTGCTCCCTGCGCATGTGCGTTTATATGCGCGATATTGTTCCTTTATTGTCGCCTTCTGTTATTTTAATCCAATCAGATTTCATGGCAGGTCATACCTGAATAGCCTGATCTGTACATATGTTTATCTAAGCTCCCATAAACTGTCTAAGTAAATTTAGCTTGGGTTTTCTTATTTTGCTCAATTTGTTTCTTAAGTGATTTGTGGGGGAAGTGCTGTAAAAATAAGTTACATGTGATTTCAATGGTCAGAATCTACTTTCTCCCAGATACGTTTCTGGGATCAGTGATCGGAAGTTTTTAGTTTTTCTGCCTGAACTTTTGTTTGTGTAATTATAGCAATGAACAATGTTGGAGTTTTGCTTTCAACAGGTTTTAGTGTCCTGTATTTCAATATCTTTAAAAATGTATGTTTCTTGAGGTTTGCGTTTCTTCCCTAATTTCCAAAGCTGTTTGTTGATTTGTTTTTCCCGTTTTGAAGTTAGCCTTGTCACTAGTTTGATCATCTTAAGGAAATGCTTCCATAT